TAAAAACCCCACAATGCTAACGCTGAGCCTCTGAATTAGCAATGAGCGAAAAATGCTAACAGATGACTGTATCCAGTGATGCAAACACAGGTATGGTGAAAAAAGAGAGAACTATTCGAAGCAGAAAGAAACAGCGTAATATACCATCTGACAAAGGCCTGTGCTATAATGCTTCAATTAACTGGCTTTACTTTATAATATACTCAGATCAATAGGAGACAGAGATGTTAAGTTATAAATCAAGGGTTTTTATTATTATTTACAGCAGGGGGGGAAACCTTTTTCCTTTCAATTTTTACAACATCCTCCGAGGGTCGTACAAATGATTGAACTCAACCTCTGCTTAAAAAAACAAAAATCACAGCCCATTCATTTGGCCTTTCTTTCATGCCGTGCAAAGAAAAAGAAACCTCTTAATCCAGATATCTTGCCATGACTCGCGCATGCATGCGCGTGCACGGTGTGGCATGACCACCAAAACAGAAAGATATATAACAGAAAGATTTTTTTTTTAAATATTGAAGTTAAAAGCATCAATCTGGTGCACTTTGAGAGCAACATGAGGAGATCTATGGACACATCTCTCAACACCCATTTGAAACAGAACTGGAAGCAGTATTTTTCTTTTTGGATATTTTACAAATCACTCCCCTTTTAAACTCTGTTCTTATTATTTTTAACAACTGTTTTGTTACAGTCATATAGTATTTTATACCTGTTTTTCATTTAGTCTCTAATGTCTCATTAATAATTATTATGATCATATCAAGGTGTGCCTTAACCTCACTGAGCTGAGGTTATTTGAGCCTCTCAGGAGAGAGCTCTCTTCCACCTGGTTGTAGAAAAGCTCTTTAAATTCGTTAGCATAGCTAGCTAACCAGATGCTAATAACAACAGATCGCCACTGTGCTTACAACTAAAGACACAGCCTCGCAAACACTGCGGCATGTGTCCGGCTCCTTATGGGTACTGCAATATTTGAAGAGCTGGAGCGGCGTTCCGGTGCTCTCCGTCAGCACTCTAGTCTACACTCCTTTCAGACGAGAAATAACCACGTGAAGACACGTTACGCCCGTGCTGTGTTCAAGGAACCTGTCCTTGGCCAGGAAAAACAGGCACTCGCTTGTTTAATTATTTTGCAATCTAGATTTCTTCTTCTTTTTTGAATTGAGAAGTTGTCCGTCAGTCGGACGGACTAACGGACGGACCCCCCCCCGCCCCAAAACGAAAACTCTTCGGTTCTCCACGAATTACACAAGTCACCCAAATCAGCGTTAAAAAAGCGGGAGGCGCCGAAAAGCGACTAATTTGCATCACTGTATAATGTTACTTGATATGGAAGCTATTGAAGAAATTCAAGAGTTAATGACATGACAAAGCTATTAAAAAGAAAGGAGACTTTTCAATTAACCAAATGCATATGTTTCCAATAAGGTATTCATGTGAAATAGTACTAAAATCCAATACAAATACTTAATTCTTACTTTTCCAGTGTAGTAATAATAAGTAATTGATTTAGTCACATGATAAAAAATAAATGACAACAATAAAATGCTGGTTTCTCCTTAAAATATTGATAAAGAAGGTGGACTAAAAACCTTTAAAAAGAGAGTTGTGTCCTATACTCTTCCAGTGTAGTAATACAATGCTGCATTGATTCGTAGTTCACGGGTCACATGACACGGTTGCTACTGAAAAAAAGTAAGCCTATCAACAAATACCAGCAGAAGGTAACGTAACATTAATGCTTGCTAACACCAACCTGCGCTCAGTAATATAACTCTCGGTTTCAGGACGGTCAGCTGCTCGATCTGCACCCTCAGCTGGAGGATTTCTCTCTTGCTGCGGACAGCTTCCTCCTTATACTCCGACACCGTCTTCTCCACCAGTCCGAAGACTTCCTCTACAGCCGCCTCCAGCCGCTCGCTGACCCGCAGCTTGAGCAGCAACGTCGACGACATCATTGAGCTCCGGCAGCAAATGTTATGGGCGAAATAGACACTTTCAAATGAATTACGTGACCTACAATATCAGCCGTTTCAAGTACCAACTGCCTGACTGTTTTAAGTAAACTAACCGTTAGTTTGTACTTCCGGTTCGACGTCATGACGTACCGCTAATGAGCAAAAACAAACAGTAGCCCCAGCGCCGTATAGATAGAATCCGTCTATACGGCGCTGAGTAGCCCTATGTTAATTGTATTTTATGGGAAATTTCATATCCTTAAATAAAATGGGCTGACTCCAAAACAATATATTAGCACTATTAAAAACATTAGGAATAATGCAATCAAAAGTAATTTGATATTTAAAAAATGTATTTTTCTTTCCGTTTTTTCTTTAGTTACTGTATGTAATGTCTTGTTGCTTTTTTGTCTGCCCCTGGACTTTGTCTGTGTATGTATGATGTTCATGTATGACATTGAATAGATGAATAAAAACATTTAAAAAAATAAAATAATAAGCCTTATTTATGGAGCTAATTTCCTGCCAAAACTACACAAACTAAACACGTTTTCTTTTTAATGCCCACTGAATTATTAACAAACACAGTATGCTTTGCAAATACAATACACCTTTGACAAGCTAATGCATTTTATTTTGCAATACAAAAAACGTGCTTATCAGAAAAACACATTACATTTTTCCAATTAATCATGTTCCTGAAAAATTACGATATGTCTAAAGAACTGAACTGATGAGGAAGAGTAACCTTTTTTATTATATATACATTTTTAAGTTTTGGACTCCTTTACATTGAGTGCTGTCATATCAGTTTACATCTTTGTGCCTGTAAATGTGGAAAAAAATCAAGACAATGGAAAAAATAAATCAAGAAACAGGAAGTATTGGCATGAAACAATTTGGAAGTTTTATTTGGTTATTTCCCTTCTATACAATAGTGTCATTTTGATAAAATGTTAATATAAAAAATGTTGAACGAAAATAATGTAAATACAAATGACATGCACTTGTTACATGTTAGTGTCTGCATGCATTTAACCCATCCTAGTGTTAGGAGCCTGGTGCCTTGGTCAACTAGCACAATCCATACTTTTTTCCATTTGGGAACTTGAACCAGTGACCCCAGAGTTCCCAACCCCAGAGTTACTGAGGATGTTATGAATGTGTTATTTGAACAAGGAACTAAATGATACTGAAGTACCTACAAGGTCTAAACCTAAAATATATCACATTTAAATCAAAATTATTAAGCTTACAGCCAATCGTAGTTTCAAATTCTAGCGTACTCGAGCTGGTTTCTCCATTCTTACCTACCCTACCTTTAAGTGAGAGTTCAAAGATAACCCAGGCCGATCCTAGTACTTTCACACAGACACATTCTCACACAGCTTTAAGATTTTTCTTCCAAGTTCAGTCCTTGCTGTTTCTCAGTGATGTGCAGTTTCCATGACTCGTGAACCTGCACATGCACCTTCAGGTCTGCATCTGTGTAAAAAGTTCTGCCACATGTTGGACACCGAATGGACCTATCTGTGCTTTTCTTTTCTGTCCCTGTGCACAATGCAAGATGTTTGCTACATACAAAGTTCTTGCCGCATTTGTCACAAATAAAAGTTTTTTTTTCAGTATGCCGTCTCATGTGAGAAAGGCAATTGAACTTGTATCTGAAAGTTCTGTCACACACGTCACAACTGAAGGGTTTTTCATCAGAGTGAACTTTTGTATGCATAACCAGCTGGTGCTTCAGATTGAACTCCTTGTTGCATTCAAGGCATTTAAACTCCTTCTTTTTGTTAATCTTACCTACATTCCTCTTTTCTTTTGCCATTTTGCGTTTTTTCCTCATTTCGCAAAGTTTGAAATGATTACTTGTGTGATAACTTTTCTCACAATTGTTACAATAATACGGTTTTTCCCCAGTATGCAACCTCATGTGAACAACACGAGTAGAGTTCTGAACAAAGGATTTGTCACAGTAATCACATGCAAAGGGTTTTTCCCCTGTGTGAATTCTTATATGCATAATAAGGTGGTGCCTTTGATCAAACTCCTTGTTGCACTCCAGGCATTTAAAGGCCTTGTTCCCTTTGTGGCTCTCTTCTACATGCTTTCTAAGATGAACATCCCTCGTGAAACGTTCACCACAAAGACGGCAATACGTTTGGTCTCTCGGAGGCGGATGGAGTTCCTTAAAGACCTCAGCGCTATGACTCTGTGAAGGCAACGGTGATCCATCTCTTTCGTTCCCCTCTTCTTTCATGCTTTGGTTTACACTCAAAGTTTGAGCCGTGGAGCATGTGAGCAGCTCACAGCTAGGGACAGGTTCTGATTCACCATTGTTTGAAGAATCAGCCTCCGTGTCTGGGCTGAAACACTCATACGCTTCCTTCTGTTCTAACTGCTCTTGGATCTCCATTTCCTCCAGAACAGGAAGCGCAGGGACCGGCTGGGCATCTAAAGTACAGAAAGGACACATGTTATTATCTGTCGACTCAGTAATATTATTATCTAAGTAAGTGTTGCAAACAGTCGTTAAACTTTAGCAATTTAATATTATAGCTTACTGGATTTTTTCATCACCTTGTACTTTTTTGTACTAAGTCTTGCTAATTTATACATAATAGATCCAATAATAGGAGGTGTGCCCTACTCGTCTAATGCAATACTGCATTGATTTTGAGGTCATGGGTCTAATAAAGTGGAAGCTATTGTACAAAGTTCAACAGGTCACACAACACCTATTGAACAATTTGAAACTATTTTCTCTCAAATTATGTGATTTTGGGTCTTTCTGCCGATAGCTTGTTTGTTTGATCGTAATAAATACTCCAAATCAACTTATTGAGTAGATTGACTTTCTTTGTGTAGATCATTTGGTAAATGATAAGGCAATAAGGTAATAATAATAATAATAATAATAAGTAAAATTCCGGAGCGAATGTCTGTCGAAAATCGAACCTAAAACCTCGGTCTCTACAACAATATGGCCAGGGCCAGCCCTTGGCATAGGCAGTATAGGTGAATGCTAAGGGCGCATCAATCTATGGGGGGCGACGAAAATTGAATTGAAAAAAAAAGTTAGAAATAAAAAAAATTAAAAAAAAGTTTAATTTCATAACACAATATCCCGATTTTGGATCAACAAAGTACATCTTATTATCTTATACTAACAGAACTACGCCTATATATTGCGTACAGCGCCCATAAACTATGCCCCCCCCCCTTTACTGTGTAAGCGGCTGCAGGGAGGAGAGCTATAGAGAGCTCTCTCCTGAAAGACTGAGCGGCTCTGATAACCTCAGCTCAGTGAGGTAAAGGCAAACCTTTATATGATCATTATAGTTTTATAAAAAAATAAGAGAATAGATTTTCAACTGTTATTTTTACTGTCCCCAAAAAGCGCCGGCAGCCTCCAGGAATGCTTCTTTCACAACTTCGCCGTCGTTGAAAGACTTCATGTGTCTTGCAAGAACGTGACTGACACGATAAGATGCTATGGTAGCAGCCTTGGGCCTGCTGAAAATGGACCGCTGTGCATTTAGCTGTCCTTTCAGGTCCCTCCCCTTTTGGGAGCGTAGGGCAGAATTAGGAGGGAATTCCGTCTCGTAGCATTTGTGCACTGTTTTGAAATGCCGCTCCTAAATTACCCTTCTTCAATAAAGCCACGCTCGCATTGCAGATGAGACAGATGGACTTTGAATTGGAATTGTGGTCTTGTGTGTGTGTGCGGACTGTCACTCCTGTTGTCACGGACAACGTCAGCAAACTAGTGCCCACAGTCCACCAGTCACGCCCCGATACATGGGGTCACGACAATCACAAAGCTTTGATGCGTTCAAGTGCATTATTCTGGCACAGGAAAATTATGTTATAGGACATTAACGATAAAAAGAATATTGTTGTATTTTTAGACACATCTCGCGATCGACTGGGAATCTCCCCGCGATCGATCGACTGCTTGGGCACCCCTGTCTTATAGTATAAAATACTATATGACAGTAAAAAAAAGTTGTTATTAATAAACAAGAATACAGTTTAAAAGGGGAGTGATTTGTAAAATATCCATAAATAAAAAGAAAATCTGCTTACTGTTCTGTTTCACATGGGTGTTGAGAGATGTATCCACAGATCTCTTAATGTTGCTCTCAAAGTGCACCAGATTGATGCTTTTAACTTCAATATTAAAAAAAATCTTCCCGGGGGACCATGCCCCCGGACCCCCCTAGAGGAGGTTAGGTCAACCCCCCACTTAAATCATGTTCAAATGGATAGGATACTAAATACATTTGCACACATCTTGTGTCCATATATTTCGGTTTTGGTGGTCATGTCACAACCGTGCACGTGCGAGTCAAAGTGAGTGTCTGCATTTGGGGGGGGGGGCGCGCCGCCGCCAGCTAACATCTTGCCTAGGGCTGCAAATTGGTCAGGGCCGGCCCTACATATGGCAACCGGCTAGAAGCGAACGTAGCATTGATGCTAAGTCTGATGAAACCAACCTGCACAGTATAATACAACCGTCGGTTTCAGGACGGTCAGCTGCTCGATCTGCTTTCTCAGCTGGAGGATTTCTCTCTTGCTGCGGACAGCTTCCTCCTGACACTCCGACACCGTCTTCTCCACCAGTCCGAAGATCTCCTCTACAGCCGCCTCCAGTCGCTCGCTGACCCGCAGCCTGAGCAGCAGCGTCGCCGACATCATGGCGCTCCGGTTACCGTTGGCAGATAATGTGAAGGGTGACCCAGAACGTTTTAAATAAAGAACTAAAGTGGTCGTGAACTGAATGCCAGTGGCAAAACAACGACTTGCTTTGGAAAAAATGCTGTCCAACCGTCCAACTTGATTGGCAGGCGTCAGTTAATACTTCCGGGTCAACGTCCCACTAGCTTTGTTACGCTACTGTACAAAACAACTCCAAACCTAATTCTGAACATTTTTACACTTTTAAAAATATAATGAAAAAAATTGTGTATTTAACAAATATTGGGTCTGAAACTGTCCTGTATTATTATCTTACTTTGGTAAGTAGAAAATATAAACTGGGCACTCGTAGCCTACAGTACAAACGTCATTGCTTTTCACCATTATAGTGATTTTTCTTAAATACATTATAGAAAAGGGCCTAACCCCCACCCTCCAAAACAAAGAGGAGTAGAATTGCACATCCCTCCCAGGAGAGGTATTTGACCTAAGGGGGGTTCGTTTAGCATGAAACACCTGAAATAACTAAAGGACNAAAGATATGGAGACAAGATGTGTGCAAATGTATTTAGTATCCTATCCATGTGAACATGATTTAAGTGGGGGGGACCTAACCTCCTCTAGGAGGGTCCGGCCCGGACCCTCCTAGAGGAGGTTAGGTCCCCCCCACTTAAATCATGTTCACATGGATAGGATACTAAATACATTTGCACACATCTTGTCTCCATATCTTTCTGTTTTGGTGGTCATGCCACAACCGTTCACATGCATGCATGTATGCGCGAGTCATGGCAAGATATCTGGATTAAGAGGTTTCTTTTTCTTTGCACAGCATGAAAGAAAGGCCAAATGAATGGGCTGTGATTTTTGTTTTTTTAAGCAGAGGTTGAGTTCAATAATTTGTACGGCCCTCGGAGGATTTTGTAAAAATTGAAAGGAAAAAGGTTCCCCACCTCTGCTGTAAATAATAATAAAAACCCTTGATTTATAACATCTCTGTCTCTATTGATCTGAGTATATTATAAAGAATAGCCAGTTAATTGAAGCATTATAGCACAGGCCTTTGTCAGATGGTATATTACGCTGTTTTTTTTCTGCTTCGAATAGTTCTCTCTTTTTTCACCATACCTGTGTTTGCATCACTGATTATAACTCCAGATGTAGCATAGAGCTAACCGTCCTCTGACCGCCGACAGTGCATGCATGTGTACATTTGTTTGTGTAAGATATTAAGGTTCAAGGTTCTTTATTTTGTCATACGAGGGTCATTCACCAAGTTATAACAATAACATGTGTTTTCTCTGTCTGTTTAGACACCCAGACGATCTCTCAGGAGATTTTGCCTTCACAAAAACCAGAACAGCTGCTGCCGAATGTGGAGGAAAAGGAGATCTGTGATTCTCTTCAGATCAAGGAAGAGCAGGCGGACTGCAGTATCGCTCCAGACATCACTATCAATGTTCTAAACACGCAGGCTGATCCTTCCTACACTGATACACATCATAAAACAGAACCAGCTACAAACTGTGAACTGCTCCCATCTTCCCCGGCTGTAACATGTATCGTAAACAAAATCACAGACAACACATTCGACCAAAGGAATGGTGTATCATTACCTCATGGCAGTCAAAAGGTGAATCGGTGGATCCTCCCAGCCCTTAACAATTGTTCTTCCAAGGATGTCAACATCGGACTCATGGATACTAAAACAACGGATCCAAATGACACCCAGCTGTTTCCCACCTACAGCACTATCACTGTGACATTAAACGATGATTGCAATGGGAACGCCAGCTCAGGCTCGTCCTCCTGTGCTCCGATTCACAGTGACTCTGCTTTTATGGAGCAGGAACCAACCCAGAAGGATGACAGGACTTCAACGATTAAAGATTTTAACACGGACTATGATCTGATCAAACACGTCGACAAGGTTCACATGACCACGAAGGCTTTCAAATGCCCCGAATGTGACAAGTCGTTCGTCGGTAGGTTCCTACTGACTGCGCATTTAAGAATTCACACGGGTGAAAAGCCATACAAGTGTTCTTACTGTACGAAGTCATTTGCTCAAAGATCAAATCTCAATGTCCACACGAGGATGCACACAGGGGAAAAGCCATATTTTTGCAATACATGTAGAAAAAAGGTCGCCAGTACCAATCATCTAAAAAAATGTCGTGCGAAAGATCTCAAATTTCTCTGTTTGAAGTGTGATCAAAGATTCCTCACATATACAAAACTGTGGAATCACGACCAGAACCATAAAGCCAGCACATCCCATACTCATTAGTTTTGACATTTGATAATAATACATTTTATTTGTATAGCACACTTTAAAAACAATGTCATCTCAAAAAAGTTATAATTTGTTCTTTATCATTGTTTTGCCACACATGTACACATCTCTGTCCTCCCTGGATGTGCTTGAAGTTAACAAGAAGAACTGATAACATTATTTTTTTGTTATTATTTTGAGCCAAGTGATCAGAATCTGGGATGCAACAATTTATAAAAAGGAGTTTGTTTGTTTGAAGGACAGTAAACAAGGATTAAATACTGATGTAAAGCTTGTTACTTGAACACATGTACACAGCATATAGACAATAAATACATATCTGAAGAAGGATTCAAAATACATTTAGACCTAAGAATAACATTGTAACATGACTTGTTTGTCAAAGCGAGATTCTTGAGAAAGTCGAAATGCAGATCAAATTGTCTTGTGTCATAATTTGTTTTTGTTTTCTCTGTTGAAGGTTTTTTGTTCTGCTCATTTGAGATCTTGAACCACTTTCCTCCTGATCTGTATAATGCCTGTTTCTGCTCATGATTTTCTTGCTCTTCTTTTCATTACATTACATTACATGTTACTTTTTAAATGCTTTTATCCAAAGCGGCTTACTCAAATGAATAAAAACATTTTGTGTATTTTGAAATGATAATGAATTGTGTGTGATACTTGTAGACACTTAGTAGTAAACCTGTAACAATGAAAAGCATGGATCCAGCAATCATTCGTATTGTTACATTTTGAATCACAATACACACACACGCAGCCGTCAGATACATTTAGAGAGGTACAAACATTTCAGTACATTTTCGCCACTTCATAACAGCAAAACATAAAAGTGATGTCAATTAAACTGGAATACGTATGAAGGAGGAACACTATGATTTTCTGATTAAGTTTTTGCTAAATCTCAATTATATCAAAGCATTACAGGCAGAATTACACTCAAACATATTTTTTATAATATATCCATTTATGCTGCTTAACTAGGACCATTGCTCTTTGTTAAGACAATACGTTCTTGTTTAAATGTCTGTTTTGAGTGTTTTTGTCTTTAGAATCTGTTAGTGTGTCAACAACAAACAACAATTCACATTTTTTATTTCTGAAATATGCCATTAAGGTTGCTTTGTAATAGTATAGTGTATAATACACAAAGAAAGAATATTATAGACTCTAACCCACATACAATACAATAAAAATAGATAGGTAGAAAGTAAAGATCGTCTATTTTGAAGAAGAGTGACCTCATGGACTCAAAACATTAACCCGTTTTTGTTTGTTTGTTTGTTTGTTTTGCTAGCATGAGTGGGGATGAAATATAATTAAATGACAACCACTTTTCATTAACACTGTTGTTCTCTAATGTATTTATTTCTCTTTCATATATATTTTTCTTTTTTATGTATGTTCATTATTTGGTAAGACCTCATTTCATATTATTTTTGGAGCAAGTACATTTTTGGCGTCACGCTGAAATCTTGAATGCATTGTAATTAAGCCCCTACACATCCAGTAGAATAGAAACATCCCCAATGCCTTTGCAAACTGAGTTAATCCAGCACCTGGAAACTTGACATAGTGAGACTTCCTCACTTTCTACACATCTCTGTTAATACCCAGTGAGAAGGATGACAGAGGATGGAGAGCCAAGCTGCGGCACAAGAAATACACAAGAAATAGCAAGAAGACAAAGTGCATGAGTGTCGGTAAATATAAATTCACCTCTTTATATTCCTATCTAGCAACTAGCATCGTTTAAACTGCACGTCAAGGTTTGTTTTGGACGGTAGGCTAGCGTTATACACAGCTACTTTAGCTTAGCTGCTGGTAATGCATGCTAATCAGCTGTTGTGTTGTAACAGGCAAGATAAAAGCCCTTTCTTTTGGAACCAGCAAACCTGCATTTTATGTTATTTAGTTTTTTTTAAGTATTTGTATTCTAACTTGTGTTTTATGATATATGACAAATATCTTCATTTGATTTTATTTGACAACCAAATGCGTTTTAAGATGTATGTTTCGCAGCTTATTTTAACTCAAAAATAATTAACCGTAGGTAGCTCAGCTTTACATAAACCGATATATCTTAAGACAGTGTTTGCATTTAATGAAAAGCTTCATAATTAGCTGTTAATGTAATGACATGACACCTGTCTGTCCAGATATACGACACTAGAAATAATGCCAGGGTGTTTTTCCTGTTTTACTGAGTATTTACAAGACAAATAGTTGTGTAACAATAGTATTTATAATGGCCAATTGTGTTCATGTGTATAGTTTGTTTCAAGGAGCAGTTGTGTGTTTATGTTGAGGCACTAATCCCTGATACTGAAGGCACGGGACTCGGTTTAAACTCTTCCTCCATGTAGCACAAAGCTGCGGATAGAGTTTCCTGTATCACTTTACTGAGCAGCCTACTTTCCACTCCAGAATCAGCAGCATGAAGGCTGTTTCTAATAGGTGTAAACATTTGAAATGGAAACAAAAGAGGATGTGTGAGGATTGTGGGAGAGTTTTATTAAGTTCAGATTTGACAAGCTTCTACTTTGTGGTAAAAGTGTTTGCAGGTTCCTCTATCTATTCTCATCATTGAAACCTGCTGAATATCAAAACTAAACCGAAATATGTCACCTACAAATCAGGAAGTTAACAATTTGTTATTGACATATACTTTCATGCTTTTTTTTTGGGCAGTTTAAACTTGGTCAGACATGAAACTTGTATCTAAATATTCTAGAAAGGTCTCTGATGCATTGGTTTTTACACTTTGAATTATGATTATAATAAGGTTTGTGTAGCAACCATCAAAACCAACATTACAAAGGTCTTCACGCAGATAGATGCAAAGCAAAACTGAATAAATTGCATAGTATTCCAAACAAAATAAAGTTTAAACAAATATTGTTAAGCAAAACTGAGATACTCAGGAAGGTCAGTCGAAATAAAAAAGTGGGCCTTTTTGAATTTGGTGTAGGTCATTACAATCTAAGCTATTTCTAAACAGGATGACCTGAGGGTGCAAACAACTAGTAGGGGGGAGAGTACATCTGGTACAAAGTAATTCATTAATTTCCTTACATTAAAATCCCAAAATACAACATAATACAAATGTAACTATACTAAAACTTCTATGTAGGTGTCAGCTAGAAAGAGAGGAGCAATTACCATCATCAGTGCACATAAATACCCTAAGAAACTGTTGTTTATGATGCTTATCTTCCTGCTCTTTTCCACTTTCTTCTCCCAGGTGCATGAGGCCTTCAAGTCCTGCTAGGAGAACCCATGGAGCCAGACATCATCCCCNAAAAAGTGGGCCTTTTTGAATTTGGTGTAGGTCATTACAATCTAAGCTATTTCTAAACAGGATGACCTGAGGGTGCAAACAACTAGTAGGGGGGAGAGTACATCTGGTACAAAGTAATTCATTAATTGCCTTACAGTAAGATCCCAAAATACAACATAATATAAATGTAACTATACTAAAACTTCTATGTAGGTGTAAGAAACTGTTGTTTATGATGCTTATCTTCCTGCTCTTTTCCACTTTCTTCTCCCAGGTGCATGAGGCCTTCAAGTCCTGCTAGGAGAACCCATGGAGCCAGACATCATCCCCTTGCACTCCGTCTCCCCCCCTCCACTGGATGATGACGGTTTCGGGGAAGTGGGATCAGAGGAGGACGAGTTTGGGGACTTTGGGGCATTCTCCGTTGGGGAGTCACCTGATTCCCTTTCCAGCTTCAGACAGCTTTCGTCTACCGCCATAAAGCCAGCCGCCCTTCAATCCACTGTTGAACAATCCCAGCCCACATCCACTGTGCACGTGGGGTCCGGTAGGGGTCAGGAATGTACTGCTGAATCATCTGTGCACCTCACAAATGGATTCTCTGTAAGGAACCACATCTCTAGGACCCCCATAGCCTCTGCTGTTGGGGGTCCCAAGGAAGAAACAGGGTTTGCTGATTTCACTTTGTTCACAGAGCAAGCGGAGCACCCCTGGTGCTGCGGCTTCTCTCCCATCGACCGCAAAGAGCAATGGGATGCCAGAGGAAAGGAAGGAAGGAAGTCATCCAACAGCTTGGGGGAACACAGGCATGGTTCAGGACAGGATGTTGTGATGGACTCTGAGCCCAGGCCTCATTGTGCATGTGAGACAAAGAAGGAGAATGTTTGCATTAAGGTCAAGCACTTTGAGAAAAGAGATGCAGCACTCGTGCAAACATCTCAGGACCATGACCAGCCTCAGGATTTCCAATCGGAAGAGCCTATTTCTAGAGAGGAGTGTGGGGACATTCAGAGGGAAAGGGGGCATTGTTTAAATTCTTTACACACCACAGGGGTAACAGAGGATGGAGAGTCAGATGGAGAAGGTCGAGGAAACAGCATTTCTACTGTCCCCCAAACATTCAGTGTGTACGAGTCTGCTTCAGAGGATCTGACCTCCTTCTGTGATGATTTTTCAATGGAGTGTCCTTCTTTAGATTTAGAACCAAATGTTTCATCTCTTGTTTCCCACGATGATGAGACTGACTGGGACCCGACTGATGATGATGATGAGGAAGGAGAAGCACTGGGAAATGACAGGCAGTCGGAAGAAGAAAAGGGTTTTCATTTTTGCGACCAATCTGTGACTCAGGAAACTTCTGCTACCTCCGAACTCTCACAAACTGGAACACATGCAGAAGAAAACTTTGCAGACTTCAGAGAGTGCACGTTAGAGCAAGGACACGTCCAAAGTGATGATGATGATGATGATGAAGAGGGGCTGAGTCTAGGAAACCTCCCTCCAAGTGACAGCTTTGCAGATTTCTGCTCAGCGCCCACGCAGGAGGACGCAGAGGACTCGTGGGCGGAGTTCAAGGACCAGGGGGCTCAGGAGGACGGGAGAACTTGGACCCAGTTCAAAGAGCCAGTCAGCAGCCTGCAGGCGGATGGGGACACGGAGGAGGAGCCAGAGAGGGGGGGGCCCAGGAGGAACAGCCGTCAGGTGGGAGGCCTTCCCCTAAAAACTGTCTCTATTGTTGTTGCTCTATGTGATGGTAATCAGAGATCACAGAGGAAACTTGATTCTTATTATCCAGGAGTTGTTTTCTCAGAATGTATTTTTCAAGCTTCTGTCATTATTTAGTTTTCTTGTTCGACACATGTAAGAGAAACGTTCTAATTGTTTCACAGGCATTACAACAACTACAGCAAAACCTTAAAGAGGCAATAGACCATTTTTTGCGTTTCCAAAAGATATTATTGTTGCTCAAGCTTTATGCAAATAAAAAATGTGTCAAATGCATATAGAAAGCGAGACTTATCTACCATCTAAATGCCAATGGTGTCATTATTCTTAGACTGCCAAGGCACAC